TAGCATTTACCACAACGCACAACTCCCATTGATTTCTGTTGTCACTAGACTGCCAACAGCCTCAGTGGCCATCTCTGCCTAGCATATACGATAAGGGAGTAAGTATTTAGCAGATGAGTGCACAGAAACAGAATTAACAGGCATAGGCCAATTTCCAGGGGAAAGTATAACTTTCCACCCTAAGGTTTTTCACTGGAAATGGCTGCAAAGTTATTTGCACGCAAGCACAGACACCCTCAGAATTTCACAGCCTTAGAGCCAGCATTCTCTATGGCTACAGAAAGAGCCACAGTGGGCTGCTCCCCCACTCCCAGGGGACTTAAAGGTTGCTAGTTAGTGCCAGCAGAAAATAGCTCTGTAATTAAGAAAAGTCTGTGCCTTGAGCTTTTCCATGCTTTGGGAGTTGCTGGCTAAGGATTGAATCCCAGGAGTGGGTTAACTAGGACAAGGGAAATGAACATTTTTCTTCATGTTGCCAGATTTCTTTTAAACAAGAGATTTTGCCCATCCTGCACTGAAGTCAGATATGGAGCTCAGCTCCAAGGAAATCCAGGTCTTGCTCACCTCAATAGCTGGTTTTAATTTCCTCATTCTCCAGTGACTTGTTAATATTAGTACTGACCTTTGGGGCAAGGTGAACACATGGTTGGACTGAAGAGAAAAGGCTCTGGGTGGCTCAGGAACTTCTTTGGCAGATACAGCAGCTAACATTTCAACACTGCACACACCCCTTAACAAGGGCGCTTCCTCAGCCTTCCCAGGAACCAACGGATGTCTCCGGGTTTCCTATTTGATGCCACCCACTGGACCTGCTTTGGGGGTCTGTAAATGCAGGAGAGCCATCGGATAATTAGCGATGGAAGAAAAAGCCTCTAAGAGAACAGGTAGGTGAGAAAAAAAGGAAAAGTAGACAGGTTTTTCACAGGTCAAAATCCTTGCTTCAGGCTCTTGGGAAAGTTTTCTTTGCATAGGAGTTTGATTGAGCTATATTAAAGGGTGTGGGAGAATTGGGAAAAGATGATATGTATATCTAATCTATCTGTCAGTATTTTAAAATCCAGTTGTACTTGACTTTGTAGGATACTGGCCTAAAGGACAATCCCCTGCTATCTTTGAAATTCCAATTTTCATTTTATTTTCTTTAATTTTGGAAACAGGGTCTAACTATGTTTCCCATGCTGGCCTGAAACTTTTTGTGTATCCCAGACTGGCTGTGATTGTGTGATCCTCCCAGCCTACCTTCCAGCTACGTAGTATATTTTTAATTCAGTATACAATAGAGACCAGATCTCTGACCTCTCCTCTAGTGTATAAAGTAGGGTTGATCTGCTATGAAATTTTGACAAGTTCTTTAGTTTCTCTGGGTGTCAATAGACACCTTAGTAAAATATAAATTAAAGACCCTAGCCTACTTCCCACAGAGGTCTAACCTGATGATCAAGCAAGGGTGCGGGTGGGGGAGGCAGAATCCAGAGCTCTCTGGAGACACTTCAGGACTTTTCTGCTGTGTCTGAGATTAGTACTCTTGGCTTTTATGTGGCATCCACAGGTAGTACCACCCACATGCACTCCTTCCTGACTGACTATGGTTAATGAAGAGCCACTCCTATGACTAGAATACAGTGAGCTTTGCAGACCAGACATGAGCCTGAAAATAGTGGAACAATAGGCCAGGGTGGCTGCTGTCAGAGAAGTCCTGATATGTGCTCATCCATGAATCTAGCCAGTAAGCATATGATCAACCATCTGTCAGCCTTCTAGCCTGTCACAAATGCATTCACAACCACGCATTTCAAGGCTTACCAATAAGATCCCATTTATGATTTTATTGCCCATATGTACTACTTTGATGCTTTAAATGTGATTCCTCTCCACACTCAGTACTTGGAGGTAGGAGCAAGCTCTACAGGTCTTCAAAAGACAAAATTCATAGTTTTCTTCCCTAGAAATAGTCCCAGTTTAAAATTTATGCTTCAACCTTTAGCCTTGAATATGAATCTGATGCTGAGTGAACCCCGTGTCTATAACCAATACATTAAACCTTCTCAGGGAATTTCATAATTTTATTTATTCTATTCTATCCCAAAATTTTAAAACTTTCTTAGATGCCACTCTTTACCTCAGACAAATCAGCTCCCCCATCCATTTCCCTGAAAGCTGTTATAATAACTACCACAGTGAACTGGGATTTCTTATTGCATGTTTATCTCATCTGCAGCAGAGAGATATAGACTGTGAACATGGTCACTGAACAAGTGTCCTCCATACCAGAGCCTGAGATGAAGAGTCAGTAGATCACAGGCCCCACCTTCAAGGATCCCACATTCTAGTTAGGTAAAGAGAAACCCTTGCTCGCATGGAGGCATGTGGGCAACATGAGAACCAAAGGCAAAGCCTCTCTCAAGGCTACAAGGCTGACTTTCAGAGATGGTAAACCCTAAAACGGGTCTTAATGAGCAAGACAGAGCTCAGTAAGAATAGAGGATGCTCCAGAATGAGCAAAAGCCCAAAGACAGGAAAATGCTGCGGTTTGGGGCCCTGTGAATCAGGCAGTGCAGTTAAACATGGGGGGCTGGGGATAGGAGACTGAATAGGTAGATTGAGACTGATTTAGAAGAAGTTTGAATGCTAGTCTGAGGCATTTCTATAAGATTTGATTTTTTTTTTCTGTTTCTGGGCTCAGAATTGATAACAGTGGTAAAAAGTTTCATAGGCAGATTTAAATTAGGTTATCAAACCCAGACCTGAGTTTTACCCCTTCAGACCTTGTCAGAGGCCCTCTAGCCACCTAGCTCAGATTTCCTGCTACTAAAATTATCTTCTTGATACTTGGCAGTGTCATAAGGACAGATTTGTAAACACAAAAGATACGTTCATGTTATTGGCTAGATTACCTTGGACAAGCCATCCCCTCCTCAGCCTCATTTCCCTGTGTTCTTACTGTGGATGTTTGCAAGGAACAAGTGAGATAAATGAAATAGTACTTTGTGGGAATTGGAAACCACAGAGACGTGGTAAGATGCTTCAGACAGACTTTCACTACTCATGTGACTTGTTAAGGTTAAGAAACTTATGTCTTGCAAAGTCTATTTCTGAGACTCTAGGGGTTCTCTGCTAATCTGAAAGACCTAGTATTTTTTAACTTTAAATTGACACATAATTGTACATACTTGTGTGGTACTGTATGACATGTTATTACATGCATATAATGTACAGTGATTAATTGGCATATGTATCACCTCAAATATTTATCATTTCTCCTCTCTGCCAGCTACTTTGAAGTATCTAATTATCTGTTGTCAACCGTAGTTATCCTGCTGTGCTCTAGAACATCCCAAGTTATTCCTCCTATTTACCTGAATCCCATACCTGTTGTTCTCTCTTCCCCTCTCCCTTCCCCACTAGTCTATACTCAGCTTCTTACCAACATCTTCTAGGTTCTGCAGTAAGTGACCACATGTAGTATTTGACTTTCTATGCCAGACTTAGTTAACAGAAACCAAAAGTAAGTTTACCTCTCTAATTGATTCTCAGGAACTCCTTACAGTGTAAGTGTTAATTCGGCATCATAATATCATGATAGAGCTTATAGATTACTTGAAAAAAAAAAAAGACAACTCATTTACTGCACAAAGGAAACATCAATGTTCGATTTTATATATATATATATATATATATATATATATATATATATATATTCAGCATTCCCTGGGTTTCTTTATGTATATCAATACATTGGATCTTCACTAACGCTGAAGGAATAGACACTACTTTCCTTCCCTATATACCAAATGAAAGAGCAAAACAAAACAGAAACAACTGAGTCATTGGAAAGTTAGCCTTCTGCCCAGTTTCTCAGATCCAGCAATGGGCAAAGTGAGATTCCATCCAGGCAGTGTGGCTTCCGATTCCATTGTTCTTAACTGTTGTGATCCATTGCCACAGTAGGTGCATTGACATAGTAGGCTTTGGTATTGAAAGTCTTATATGATGTATACACAGCAACTGGAGTGACTCTAACCCTTGTATAGACTAAGGTTCTGAGAAGATATTTTAGGAAGCTTCTTAAATGGCAGAGTGGAGCTGGGAGCATTTGAGGGCAGGACCTAGAGATTTCTTTTCCTGAGAGATTGCCCTGTCGTAGTCCAGCTCAGTGGAAGAAAGTTGAGCGTCCTAATACCCAATCACTGGAGGTTTGTTGGGGGTGGGAAGGTTACAAAGAATGAAGTAAAAGGGCACTTGGACATCTTCCAGGCAAGCTGTGCAGCTGCATGAATTCTACAGATAAAAGTCTCAAAATAACCAGGGGAATGGCAAGAAGAGTGGGGACAAGTGAAAGGGAGACATGCGGATGAGGTGGCCCTGGCCTGTGGATGTGTGCTAGTTAGCTAGAGGCCATTGCCTCTTGTCCCTCATACATACTGTCCTCAGTGCAGTTTCCACTCTCCTAAGCCCCCATCCCAACATCTTGGCATGAAGAGCTTTAGCTGGGGTTTGGATTAGATTGTGTTGCCTTTATTGCTGGATCATCTCATAGCATTGGCAGCCATGTGAACGGTGCTTATTTATCGGCTCTCTGCCTAGCAATGGCTGCACTCACTCCTATTCCCAAGGTGTCAGATTTACTCTGATTTATTTAACCTTGGCTGGAGAGTATAAAGATGATCAGATAGTGCCAATCTCTTTGGAGTGCCCTGGACAGCTCATTTTAAGAGGGAGAGGGCCTGTGGAGAGGGAGGCAGCAGACTCCAGGGAAGGACAGTTTTGCAATGTCTTGTTAAGTAGGGTGAGCAGTGAGGTAGTGAAAGTCTGCTTCCAGTTTAGGTCTTAAATTGTTAGCTCCAAACATTGCATTTTGAATTAGGGACATTATGTTTGTGTGTTTGTTTTGTGGGCCCTGAGTCTGTTTCTGAGTTGGAGCTTCACATTTTAATTACGCCTGCTTTTTTATTTCAAAGCTGAGACCTATCTCCATCACCTTTGCCATGCCACACCACACAGGATGTAAGCACATGATCTTTGGTTTTTCATTTGCATACTCTACTAGTCCTGTCTTCATTGGCGGGAAGTAGCTGGTCAGACCTGGGCTGTCTTGCTGGCTGCCTTCCTTGCTGGGCTCCAACTTATCTTCTATGTACATAGCCCTTAGAGTCCAGAGGCCTCTGCTGACTTCTGCCTAGCCTCTGGCTTTCAGCACCCACGTCCCCACTTGCACATACAGGAGCAGAAGGAAAAGAGGGAGCTGGAGATAGTCTGTGAGAGGCTTAGAAACCCAGTGCATCCCCCTGGCCCAGCCCTGCCACCTGCTGCTGTGGCCACAACAGAAAGGACAACTAGGAACCTAGGAAGAGAGGTCCAATACCTTGTGGGCAGTGCTATCATTAGCTGCAACGACTAAGATGGCTCAAGAGATGGGAGAACTCACTCAAACCAGGTTGCAGAAGATCTGGATTCCACACAGCAGCAGTAGCAGCGGGCTGCAACGGCGAAGGGGCTGTAAGTGGGGTTTACATTTGTGGGTGGTGGGGGTAGGTGGGGTTAGAAGAACAAACGCTGCTCCCTGTCCACTCCTGCCCCCACATAGAAGTTGGAATAGATGAGCAATGGAATAAAATAGCTAGAGCATAACAAGAGGCTCATATGAGAAAGGGTAAGGAGGTAAGAGAGAAAGGCAGGTAGAGAAGAAGACAAAGAATGAGGATTAGATAAAGAGCACCGAAACTACAGGGACCCCTGACTAAGGGCTTTCCCCCTTGAATCGGGAGCTTGTTTAGAACGCTTCTTGTTTAGAATACGAGCATTCTAGTATAGTACTATTCAGAATATTTTATTTTGGCGTCTTTTATGAAGGATCTGGAAATGAATTTTGTTTAATCCATGCCAGGGTGAACTAAGGTGACGGTTCCTGGCATGGTGTCTCAGAGGAGAGGTGCTGAGTCCACAGCACTACCATGTCACTGGCCAGCATTGCCCTTCCTCTTTCACTGTCCTTTTCGAAATAAGTCTGTACCTGCCTGCACTAGGAAAGACCGAACACTGGGCTCCTGTAGTGCCTCTCTGGCCTTGACATGTCTAGACAGTCTTGCTGTTTTCAGGAGTTGAGGGGAAAGACAGTATTGCAATGTCAAGTCTGCTGGTGTATTATTCACTTTGAAATTTTAAGGAACAGGGACTAAGGGAAAGTAAGCAAAGCTTGGAAATAAGCTTTGAAACCGAGTATGCCATTTCTCATAGATAACCAAGGATAATCATGCAACAAGGTGTTTGCAGCCCAGCTTGAGAGAGCAGAAGGGGGTTAGAGATAAGACATCTGTGAACTGCAGGACTCGGACAGCTCAAGCAGCCACTGAGGAAGCTTCCAGACTCTTAATGTTAGAGGAGGGTAGGCCTAAGGCATACTAGGGGCAATACTTCATCATAGCAGTTCCAGGAAGATGTACAATATTAGATTAGTGCATAGGATGTAGGATATGTATACAAGAAGCAGACTGGAGAATAAAACCCAGTGTCATGATCTCCATTGGTCTCTCCATCAGCAATCCCAATTACTCATCTGGCAATGTAGGAGTCTATATGAGATAGAACCTCATTCCATCCTTACCCATCCAGCCACTCTTGATCCTGTTGGGTTTAGCTGAAAAACAGTGAAGCCATTCTGCATACAAAACTCTTCCAGAGTGAAAACCCTTATATTCCTAAGAAATCTGACCAATACTCAGGAGGCAGATTCAGGAGGATTGCTGTAAATTTGAGAGCTAGTCTTAGCTACATTGTAAGTTCTTAACCAGCCAGAACTATATCTCAAAAACTCCATCTCCAAAACAATGTGAGAACAAACCCCGCACAAAACAGAAAAATATGTGTTTATTTTAATTATGAGCTCCACATTCCTTAATTTTTCATAAGAGTAACACTTACCAGATGCAAGGCTGTGTAGCATTGAGTCCCACCTCCTGTGTTTGTAAATGTAGACAAGCCTCTTTTTGCTTCTGTTCTCTCACCTGTAGACTGATGTTGCTAACAGTGCTGTTGCAAAGGTTAGATAAGCTGAAGTGGGTAACGTGCTTAGAAGAATGTCCAGCACATAGTATGCACTCAGTAAATGTTATTAAACAAAAACATGGTTGCCTGCTCTTATTCAATATCATACCCTGTGTTAAATCCTGAGCCTGGCCCAGGACAGATGCTCTCTAAGTGATCACTTAGCTTTTTACTTTTACTTTTATCATTGCCGTTTTCACAAGACACTCCTTAATGATTAACTGAATTTTGTGGCCAGGGCCTTCAGCAATGTCCGCCTTTCCTCCCAGGCTAGGTAGGCAGGCTATTGTCCCCAGAAAGGTCTGACTCACCTTTTGCTTATAGCATCCTCTCTAGAAGATAGAATCAATAATTTTGTCCTGACTATTAAATGTATAGCCATGTATAGAGTCCTTAGATAGCTGCACTTTCTTACCAACATTATATGTAGATGAGCCACACATATTATTGTTGTGTCTTCCTAGCTTGCTTATTTTTCCTTTTTGTGTGCGATTATATTTTGTGACTGACTATCTTGTAGTTAACCTATTTTACTATTGATGCCCATTAGATAATTTTGAAATTTTAGCTTTAAACAATAGTGAAATGGTCATTTATCTTAGTAAATTCTTGTATCTTGCCCTTCTTAGGGAGTATCTTGGCTATTCTTGGCCAACTGCTCTTCTCATAAACTTTGGAATCATCTTTTCAAGTTATACACACAGAGAGGCAATATTTTAAAGATTTGTTTGGAATCACACTCAATCTGTAAATCAATATGGGGAGAATAATCATCTTGTAATATTTAATTATCCTTGAACATGCTATATCTCTTGACAAATTTTGACTTTTTCCATGTTATTTGGAGTGACATTTTATAATTTATTCTAGGAAGGGTTTGCACATCATTTTAAGGATTTTTTCTTGTTTATTTTTATTGTTACTATAAAGAGTACCTTTGTAGAAAGTTGTGTTTTATAGTAGTTTGATGATATATATATATAATAGTTTTATATATATATATATATATATATATATATATATATATATATACACACACACACAATTAGTTTTATATGGTGAATTTATAACTGACAAACCTACTAAGTTTTCTTACTAGTTTTGGCAATTTTTGTACAAATTACAGCTTTCATTTTTTCCCCAAGCAATCCTTATCCTTATGATTCTTAAATATCTTTTTTATATTAATAATTTGCTAAGACCCTCCCTACCTCCAAAACATACAAACACACATACAACACAGTGCAATGTTAAAAAGTATGTTAATAATGTGCATTTATAGGTTGATCCTGTTTTTAAAGGGACTGTTTTTGAAAGTTTGACCATCGAGTAATTAAATGTTGTTTTTTTGGCAGATACCTATTAAGAAGGTAAGGACGTTCTTTTTTATTCCTAACGACATAGTTCTTTAAAAGTGAGTTGGTGTTGAAATTTATGAGTTGTATTTCTGTATCTATTGAAATACAGCATGATTATTTTAATTTTAACTTTTTTGTGCTACATGTTTTTTCTTATTATGAGCTAATCTTGCAGTCCTAGGACATAAAAGTACTTCTAAATTTAGTTCAGTAAAATTTTGTTCAGTACTTTAGTATTTTCTTCAGGAGAGATTCTGTTTTCATGTTGTCGTTTTCTGGTTTTGGTGTCAAGGTTATACTAACATCATGCAATGAGGTGAGAACTATTTTCTTTCATTCCATCTCTGACAGAGTTTGTCCCCGAACTATCTGTTCCTCAAATATTTGGCAGAACTTCCAGATCAAACAGTCTAGTCCTCGTGTGTCTTTTAAACCTTTCAACGGCTCCAGTTTCTGTGAAAGTTATGGTGTTTGTTTTGCTTGCTGCTGTCCTTGTGTGAGACTTGCTAAGTTACAGTTTTCTGGGAATTTTTCCTTTCACATGTTTTCAAGTTTATTGAAAGTTTGTATGTGTGCATCTTTTAAAAGGTGTTTTCTTTTTATATGTTCTTTTTTTCTAAGATTCATTTATTATTTCGGTATTTAAAAACCTTTTTTTCACACACTGTATTCTCTAACAACATTGTTTACTTGTACCTTTGTGTTTTTTTCCCTTGACAAATCTTGTGAACAGTTTATAAGCTGTATGGTTCTTTTAAAATAAAAAATCAGCTTTGGGTTTTGTTTTTTAAGCTTCATTTTTTTGTTTGCTCCTTCTGTATCTTTATCTTTTGCTTAATCAGCTTTCTAGTAGCAATTCATATCTTACTCTCTTTGAATATTTTTTAAACTGAGTTAGATGTTCGTCTCATTTATTTTCAGGCTTTTTTCTTTTCTGATCTATACTTGGCCTACTAAACAGGGCTTGTGTTCTATGTATACATAAATCTTTCTAGACCATTTGATAACCAGACACTACCATAGATTTGCTTAGTCTATCACTTACCAGTTGCCCTCATTGCCTTAGTCTCTATTTCAGGACTGCTAGAACAGCAGGACACCTCTTCTACTTAGTGCCAGCCCTTGAGACAGCTTCTGTTTAGATAGGTCATATCCACTCAAATTCCATTCCTGCCAGAAAACTTTGGATGATCCCAGGTCCTTGAGATATACTTTATGGAGCATTTGGTGACGGTTCTTTGAGCACTTGAGAAGACTGTATATTTTACCTTTGTGTTGTGTTTCTCTTAATTAAAATCTTGCTTGTTAATATGGTTGAAATGTCCCACTATTCTACTGGAGTTTGGGCTGCCTATCATTGTAGAAAATTTGTTAAAGTATCCTAATAATTTGCCAAATTTGCCAGCTTGTTACAAATAATTTTGATAGTTACAAATATATTTAGACTGCTGGTTAAGTTTCCAACCTTGGACAAATGGCTGAGGTGCCTTTAACATATCAAAGCTGGACCTGACAGCCAGGTTCTCCTAGCATCCCTCAGTCCAGACTTGTTACAGGGTATGGTTAGCATACCCTGCCCTCTGCCCTGAACTCTCCAGCCCCGGGGATGGGCTACCCTTCCCCCAGAGGCTTTTCTCTATATGATCTAGACATTTTGGTTACCTACCCTTTTGTACGTTTGGCCTCCTGGCTGCTGAACCTGGTTCCCCTCTCTCCCTTTTCCCTTATCTTCCTCTTCTCCCGCATAGCCCAGCTTGGTCTGGTCATGTCCACTCTAGATTCCTCCAGATATTCCTGCCTCTGACTATGCTTTCCCACATATCTATAATAAACTTTCTTCTCCACCATACCTAGGAGCAGCCATATCCTTTTCTTTCCTCTTTATTTCTTTTTTTTTAAACTACTATATCTTTGGTAATATCAAATAGTTGATTATTGTTGTCATATTGCCCTACAATCTTATTTTCCTTTGATATTAATATACCTACACTCAGTTGTTCTAAGTTTAATATATGCCAGGTATATTTTCCTTTTTAAAATTTGTTTTATTTTGTTTGAGACAGAGTGTCTCTATTAAGTAGCTTTGACTGTCTTGGA